ATTAAAATCAGAAAAAAGGAATAATCATCTTATTTATAGATTCCCTGGGCTTGAAATCAACAAAAGTAAAGAAAAACAAAGATGGACACTATATGCTGGTCAAGGGAACAATACAAGTGGAAGAAATTTCAATCCTAGATATCTGTGTGTTCAACTTAAATGCTTCAAGATTTATAAAATGAACCCTAACTGATCTGAACCTAATGATATCCTGCAACATCATAGTAACTGGTGACTTCAACACCCCTCAACTGAACGAGGCAGATCCTTCAAGCAGAAGCTAAACAAAGAAGCAATGGATTTAAACATCACTTTAGAACAAATAGGCTTAGTAGACATATATAGAACATTCTATCCTAATAAATCTGAGTGTACATTCTTTTCAGCCCATGCATCATTCTCCAAAATTGATTATATCTTAGGGCACAAATCAAGTCTCAACAAATTTAAAAGAATAGGAATTATACCTTATATCTTTTTGGACCATCATGGAATAAAAATAAAGCTCAACTCCAACAAAAATATTCACCCCATAAAAAGTCATGGAACTAAACAACCTTATGCTGAATATCAGCTGGGTCAAGGAGGAAATAAAGAAGGAAATGATTAGATTTCTCAAACAAAACAGCAATGAAGCCACAAGCTATTAAAACCTGTGGGATACTGCAAAGGCAGTCCTAAGAGAGAAGTTTATCACATTAAATGCCCACATTGAAAAAAAAATAAAAACCAGAAAGAGCACACAACAACAACTTAATGAACCATCTCAAGGAACTAGAATCCAATTGCAAACCTAACAGAAGAAAAGAAATAACCAAAATTAGATGAGAATTAAATGAAATTAAGATCAGCAGAACAAAAAGTTGATTCTTTGAAAAGATTAATAAAATCAATAAACTTTTGGGCAGATTAACTTCAAACAGATAAGAAAGATAAGATCTCTAATAACCTCAATCAGGAATGCAAAAGGGTAAATAATGACAGATACCACAGAGAGATACAAAAAAAAAATCATTACTGATTACTATAGAAAACTCTTAAGCCCAGAAATTTGAAAATGTGGAGGAAATGGACCAATACCTGGAATCATACAACCTCTCTAAACTCAACTAGAAAGAATAGAACATTTGAACAGACTGATATCAAGCATCAAAATTGCAACAATAATAAAAAAGCTTCCAGCAAAGAAAAGTCCTGGACCAGATGGGTTTATGGCATAATTCTATCAAACCTTCAAAGATGAGCTCATCCCTATGTTGCAGAATCTGTTCCAAAACATTGAGAAGGCGGGTTCTTCAACTCCTTCTATAAGGAACTAGCACCCTGATATCGAAACATGAAAAATATCCAACCACAGAAGAAAACGGCAGACCATTATCATTAATGAATATCAATGCAAAAATAGTCATTAAAATCCTAGCAAACAGAATACAACTACACATTTAAAAAATTGTACATCATAATCAGGGGGGCTTTATTCCAGGGTTGCAAGATTAATTCAGCATATGTAAATCCACAAATGTAATTCACCACATAAATAGAAGGAAAAACAAGGTCCATATGATCCTTTCAATGGATGCAGAAAAGGCGTTGACAACATTCAGCATCCTTTTCTGACAAGAACACTTAAGAAAATAGGAATAGATAGGATGTTTATGAAACTGATAGAAGCCATCTACAACAAACCCATAGCCAATATCAGATTGAATTAAGTAAAACTGAAAGCATTTTCACTTATAACTGGAACCAGACAAGGTTGTCCATTATTGCCACTACTATTAAACATAGTGCTGGAAGTTCTAGTCATTGTTAATCAGGCCAAAAAAAAAAAAAAAAAAAAAAATCAAGGGTGTCTAGATAGAGACAGAGGAAATCAAACTCTTTTGCTGATGATATGGTCATATACTTAGAAAACCCCAGGAACTCAATCACAAGGTTCCTGGAAGTGATCACAAACACAGTAATGTCCAGGGATATAAAATCTATGTTCACAAATCAGTAGCCTTCATATACATCGATAATAGTCAAGCTGAGACCCAAATCAAGGACACAATACCCTTTATAGTAGCTTCAAAGAAAATGAAATACCTGGGAATATACCTAACAAAGGGTGTGAAGGATCTATGAGGATTGTAATAAGACTGTGAAACTCTGATGATGTTAACACATGGAAGAACATACCATGCTCATAAGCTGGGAATAATTAACACTGTAAAAATGTCTATGCTATCCAAAGCATAAATATATTACATTAAGTCTATAGATCCCCATTAAATCACCAACATCATATTTTGAAGAACTTGAAAAAATAGTATTTTGTTTCAAATGGAACCAAAAAATATCCCCAAATGAATTGCATTGGCTATTTTTTTTTCTGGTTCCATATAAAATGAATTCTGAGAAACAAAAACAAATCTGGAGGCATAACATTACCAGACTTCAAGTCAGACTACAAGCCTATAGTTATCAAAAGAGCATGTTGCTAACATAAAAATGAGAAGTAGATCTACTGAATAGGAAGAGAACCTAGAGATGAAACCAAGCACATATTGCCGTCTGATATTTGATAAACCAAGCAAAAGCATACACTGGGAAAAGAATCCCTATTTACTAAAATCTTTGTTTTTTTGTGTAAGTGTTTATGGCTATAAAATTTTCCCTCAGCACTGTTTTTCATATTTACATTTTGCTTCAGTTTTCTTAACCTTTACCAATTTTTTCTTTAATACTTTGAGAATCTTTAAGACCATTGTTTTAAAGTCTTTGTCTAGTAGATATACTATCATGTCTTTTTCAGGATCAGTTTGTGTTGGTTTATCTTCCTTTGGGGCATGCTTGTTTCTTTGCATGCCTTGTGGTTGTATTGAAAGCTGGACATTTGAATATCATAATGTGGTAATTCTGCAGATCAGAGTTTCCTCTTTGCCCAGCGTTTGCTGGCTTTTTCAAAAATAAGTTAAAATGTTAATTGGTTTAGGTGGTTTGTACTGACACCAATGTTAATATTAGGCCTTCTGAGGGCTTTTCTGAACCTGCACCCTCCCCTAGACATGCATGGTAACTTATTTCTCCTGAAAATGTAGTTGCTTTTGAATGTCCTTGTGGCTCATGCCAATAATCTCAGTACCCTAGGAGGCAGAGGTGGAGTGATTGATAGTTGCTAGGCATGTTGGTGCATTCCTGTAAGTCTCAGCTACTTGAGAGGCTGTGGTGGGAGGATCCTTTGAGCCCAGGAGTTCAAGGCTGCAGTGAGTCATGATTGTGCCACTGACACACAGCTTAGGTGATATCCTATAACTTAAATAAGAAAAGGGGAGGGGAGAGAGATAGAAATGAGGAAGAAGAGAAAGGTACCAGCTCTTTCCTTTTAAGTCCCCTGGAAGTCACTTCAGCCAGAGAGAGTAGGAATTGCATCAGTGTGAGGGAGATTTAACAGTAACAGTCACTCTCCTCTTTGTCTGTACCTCTGTGATCAGAAGGAGCAATCTATGAACAGAGTACAGATCTCTAGTATTTTAAGGACAGAGTCCTTTTTGCCCACTGTAGTTTTGGTAACTGTTTGAAAGCTGCTTCAGGTACATAGCATGTCGCCTGCTATGATCTCAGGGGTTGGAGCTGGTGGCTGCTACTGTGCTAAGAGCCAAAATTGTCCAGAATTAACTACAATTTATCATCTAAACCTTTCCCTGGAAGTAGCAAGCCTTAAATTGACTCCAGAATTCCAAAGTGGTTAGATGACATAGATTCTGCCAGTGTCATTGTTGTCTAGGTGGAGATTTCTGGTGCTTCCTAATCCACCATCTTCACAGAATCCTTTCCCCTTGCTTAATCTTGAATCCACTGAAGGCATTTAGTTATATAGAGCCTCAGTTATTATTACTGTTCTTTTAAAGCACCCCTAAATAAATGTGAATCTTTAGGCTTAATGTAACACTTTTTCCTTTTGTTATTTTTATATTAAGTTAGTTATTCACTCAAAACAAATGTAGTAAGATCTTGAATAGTTATATATTTTGTGAAAAAAATCAACATATTGCTAAATTGAAATAATTTTTAGAGTGGGCATTTTGACTTCTTGCCTTTTTTTCTACTTCAGCCCTTTTCCTTTCTTTCTTTCTTTCTTTTTTCTTCACACTTCCCCTATATCTGTCTTGGTACAGTTTTAAGAGCACAGATCTCTGGCATATAACAGAAAAGTCTTTTAAACTCAGCATACTGAGAGTAAATAGTCACATTACCATTTCATTAACTCTACAATGCCTATGTTTGTAAGGGGCACTGTCATTTTATGTACCATGAAGATAGAAGAAAATACTTCCAACCATAATTAAAAGTTGCATCCCAGTATCATACATGTTAATGTAGGAAAAGTATGTATTGTAAAATCTGTGAAATAGAAAATATACTCCCTTCATATTACAGTTTATAGTAGCCTTGTAATTTGTTTTGTAAGTCTTGTAAAAACTGGAGTAAAGGAAATGATTTGACCATTTTTTATATTCAGAAGCTGATCAAAATTTGATTTTCACCTTGTTTTCTTCAGTGCCTTCTATGTAGGTTGTTCAGTTTAGTAAGCATTTTTAGTGCCTACGATGTAGTGGTTATTCTTATAATAGTGGCCATCGTTTATATAGGTTTAACTGTGTTCTAGATACTACTTTGAGTGCTTTATGCATTTTGAATAACTATATTTTATAATATCCTTATGAGGTGAATGCTGTTTTTATCCCCATTTTATGAAGGAGGAAACTGAAGCACAGAGAAGTCAAATGACTTGGCCAAGGTTGTGTAGCTAGTAAATGGTGTAGCTGGGGTTTGAATGTAGATCCTCTGACAGCAGAGACCATTCTGTTAGCAGTATTTTTAAACACATAAAGATGGATAAAATATCGTTCTTTCTCTCACACATCTTACTAGACAGTATTTGAAGATGTATTGATAAAATTACATTCAGTTATTAAGTTATACTTTTGGTAATCAATTTTTATTTGTATTTTTAGGACATTCAGTCAGAAGAAGGCTGCTATTGAAAGAGAATATGCACAGGTAAGCTTGGAATTGGAGGCCTTATTTAGGTATACTTCTTTTCCTTAGCTTATTTTGACCTTGTTGACAGAGAGTAGTATATTTTCAGTGGATGGTATGGAGCTATTTCTAAGGAAATTTTTTTTTTGGGGGACAGAGTCTCACTATGTCACCCTCAGTAGAGTGCCGTGACGTCACAGCTCACACAACCTCAAACTCTTGGGCTTAATTGATTCTTTTGCCTTAGCCTCCCAAGTAGCTGGGACTACAGGTGCCCACCACAACTTCCAGCTATTTTTCAGTTGCAGTTGTCATTGTTGTTAAGCAGGCCCAGGCTGGGCTTGAACCCACCAGCCTCAGTGTATGTAGCCAGCGTCCTACCCACTGAGCTATAGGTATTTCCCAGTCTAAGGAAATTTAAGTATTTCTTTCTTTAAATTTTAAATAGCCCTTTATTTGTATCTTTTTCTTAAATTTTTATTTATTTATTTATTTAAGGATTTTTTTTTAAATTTTTTCAAATGAATATGAGGGTACAATTTTTAGGTTACATTGATCTCACTTCCAGGGTAAAGTTCCATTTGTAGAAGAGCCCCTCACTCAGGGGGCCATTATTTGTATCTTGATGGCTAAATGTACCAAGAAAAAATTATGTCACTATTTCATTTTGTGGTTATATAAGAATCAGTAACTTGGCTCAGTGCCTATGGCTCAAGTGGCTAAGGTGCCAGCCACATACACCTAAGATGGCAGCTTCGAATCCAGTCCAGGCCCGCCAAATAACAATGACAGCTGCAACCAAAAAATAGCCGGGCATTGTGGCAGGCGCCTGTGGTCCCAGCTACTTGGGAGGCTGAGGCAGGAGACTTGCTTGAGCCCAGGAGTTGGAGGTTGCTGTGAGCCGTGATGCCATGACATTCTGCCCAGGGGGTCAACTTGAGGCTCTGTCTCAAAAAAAAGCAAAAAAAAGAATCAATAACTCTTTTTATGCTCTGTCTCAAAAAAAAAGAGGAAAAAAAGAATCAACTCTTTTTATATATATAAAAATAATTTAACATAATTTGGGAATTTTGACCCTTATTTTCAGTATTTATTACTTTCTATATGGGGCAGAATTCTAAAATTGTTACCCCTACCCCCACATTATAAAAGTTGTATTTGTAGTAAAATTTAAAAATACAGGAGGTTGTTAGAAGGAAAAATGAAAATACAGTGAATATTCTACATTGTAACTACTATTTCTGTTGCTATTGTTTTTTTTTTGAGACAAAGTCTCACTATGTTGTCCTCGGTAGAGTGCTGTGGTGTCACAGTTCACAGCAACCTCAAACTCTTGGGCTTAAGCAATTCTCTTGCCTCAGCCTCCTAAGTAGCTGGGACTACAGGCACCTACTGCAGCGCCCGGCTATTTTTTGGTTGCAGTTGCCATTGTTGTTTGGCTGGCCCCGGGCTGGGTTCAAACCCTTCAGCTCTGGTACACGTGGCTGGCGCCCTAGCTGCTTGAGCTAAGGGGCCAAGCCTCTGCTGTTGTTATACTCATTATATATAAGTAATGAGATCTGGGCATAGTTTTCTTTTTGTCTGTGTGCTTTGTCAGTAAAATTTTAGTTTTATTCTAACTTAGTTATAGTTAGATAGCTGTCTTTATTTGATAGTTTTATAAATTATCTATTATTATCTATTCTTTGAAAGCTAGATAGAGCTTATTAATTCAGTCAGTAATGCTTTATATAATGAATAGTATCAGTTTTAAAATTATGTTGAACCCTTTTCTATGCTTGTATAATAAAGGGGGTAATGATACTTAACATTTATTGAATCTTTACTTTGTTCGAGGCTCTTTCCTGAGTATTTTATATATGTTATCTGGTTTGATCCTCTCAATAATCCTATGAAATGGGAATAATTATTATGCCCTTTATAAATACATTTTCATACATGTAAATATGCAATATATATATGTATTTTTAATATTGAGATAAAAGTTTATGATATGCTATTAAAAGTTTAATGCAAAATGAAAACTTTGATGTAGTCTCTGTAAGAAGATTTAAAGTTTTAATCAGGTAAATAGAACATGGTCATGGGTAAAAATGTAAAATAGTACATTATATTGTATGAAAAGTCTTCTCTAATTTCAGTCTCTTTCCTCAGAGAAAAAATTAAAAGTCTATGCCTACTTTGGTTCTCCTGGTGATTATTTCCATATCTTTAAATAATGTGCTTGCAGCTGATTGTTAATTTCATCAAATCTAGACATATTGCATGGTTATTTACAATAAATTAGAAACTTACTAATCTATTTCTTTCTGGCCTACTCTTTCCAATATAATTGTGGCACTATTTTGGTACCTTTGTTAACTTTTCTAACTGAATGTTTCTTTTTTTTTTATCAAATACACATATACACACACACACTTATGTAATATGTATAGGAATGTATATGTGTGTGTGTATGTATAGGAAATTGTATATTATATTATAATACTACAGGAAATTACATTTCACAGAGTAGTCAAATTTACCCTGGAAAAATTTCTTTAAATGTCTGTCAAATGTATTATATCTGGTTTTGTTTATATAATCCTACATAATAATATATGCAAACAATACAAGATATTTAATAATGTATATTTAAAAATTTCATAAGGTAATCAAAATTAAAATGAAATTAAATGCTCCAGTGTGTCTCTCTGCTTGAGACAAGTGAGCACATTTATAGAGAGCCAGTTTGCTGACTGTTCTTGTTATTTGTCTTCAGATTTGCCCTTTGGATGATTTTTCTCAGTTCGTCTGACTCTTAAGTAGTTTTCCAATTAATTTCAAAATTTATTTCCTGAGCATATAGACAAATATATCTCTTATCTTCTTGTTTGGTTGCCTAAACATTACTTTTACTTCTTGTCAATAGTAGAGAAACCCTTAAAACGATTGACATATTCTTTATATAAATTTTGCCCATAAGCACTAATTATTTCAGGCTTATTTGCATTTCCTGTATGAGGATATATCTTCACAGTTTAAGGGTGCGGTCAGAAGGATAGTTGCACTATTTGAATTATCTTTTTCTCTTACTTTCTTTGCTTTAGTGTAGAACTGAAATTTTGGGAGTTAAATTTTTAGAAATTAAAATATAGCATATATAGTAAGATGTACAAATCTTGAGTATACTGTTTGATAAATGTTTGTGAACAGTCATGTAACTACTATCCAGATTAAGATACAGAACATTATGATGGCCCCAGAAGAAGTCAATAAATACTTTACTTTTCAATGGTAACCAATATGCTTTTATCAGAATTGTTGTTATTTTTGGATATCTGATGCTTTTTGAACCTAAATGGTATCATGGAATTTGTACTCTTCTGTGTCTGATTTCTTTCATTCAGTATTAAGTTTTTAACCTTCATGTGTTAACTGCATGTAGGAGAGTAGTTCATTCATCTTTGCTTTATTATATCAACTGAATGAATATATAACAATTTGTTTTCCCAGTGTACTGATGATGAAAATTTGAGTTGTTTCCAGTTTTATATGATTTTGACTATTGCTTCTCAGCAGACATTTTATACATGTCTTTTGGTGGACATATGTACATATTTATATTTGTTAGACACCTGGAAATAGAACTACATGTTGTACTTTAGTAGATACAGTCAAATGCTTTCCCCAAGTTACTCTACCAGTTTACACTCTTAGCGGTAATGCGTGAGAGTATCAGTTGTACCATATGTTTGCCAACATTTGGTATTCTCTAAAATTAAAAAGATTGACATTTTGATGAGTGTATAGTAGTACCTCATTTTCTTTTTAATAAGCTTTTAAAGAACTGACATATACAGAGAAGTGTGAAGGTCATACTGAAGACCTCCATGAATACTCCTATAGCTCCATGAATTTTCTTTTTTTTTTTTTTTTTTTTTTTGAGACGGAGCCTCAAGCTATCTCCCTGGGTAGAGTGCCATGGCATCACGCTCACAGCAACCTCCAACTCCTGGGCTCAAGCAAATCTCCTGCCTCAGCCACCCAAGTAGCTGGGACTACAGGCGCCCGCCACAGCGCCTGGCCATTTTTTGGTTGCATCCATCATTGTTGTTTGGCGGGCCTGGGCTGGGGACTCAAACCCGCCACCTTAGGTGTATGTGGCTGCACCTTAGCCACTTGAGCCACAGGCGCTGAGCCAGCTCCATGAATTTTCAAAGTGAACATACTCACATAGCTAGTGAGGCAAAGAAACAGAACATTAACAATGTCCCTCCTCATGCAAGGAGATTTATTGTGATGTAATTGATATGCAACAAACTGTACTGTTTACAATTTGATAAGCTTTAACAAATGTATATACCTGTGAATCCATCACCATGCATCATCGTCAAGATAATGAACACAGGGATAAGCCCCCAAAGTTTTCTTGTGTCTCATTATAATCTCTCTGTCCCACCTACCTCTTCTTGATTCTTTTTCTTCATCATCACTGATTACCTGTCACTATATATTTGTTTGCATTTTCTAGAATTTTAACTTAGTAAACAGAATCATACACTGTGCAGTATCTTTTGTCTGGTTTCTTTCATTTAGCATAATTATTTTTATTCTAATTTATGTTGTGTTTATCAATATTTCATTTCTTTTTTATTGCTGTTTAGTATTCCGTTGTATGGATATACCACAATTTGTCCATTTACCTGTTGATGAACATTTGAATTACATCTGTTTTTTGGATATTATAAATAAAGCTGCTATAAGTATTTGTGCGTGAACAAATGGTTTCATTTCTCTTGGGTTAATGGAGTGGAACAGCTGAGTCATTTTTAACTTTTTAAGTAACTATCAAGCAGTTTTCCATTTCATATTCCTTCTAGAAGTATAAGATAGTTTCAGTTACTCCACATCCACCCCAACAATAGATAAAGTCTTTTTAATTTTAAGTAGTATAATAAATGTGTAGTGGTATTTATTGTGGTTTAGTTTGTATTTATTTAATGTCTAATGATGTCAGACATCATTTCCATGTGTTTATC